TTTATTTTTTTTCTTTATATATCAATATACACAGAGAAACATTCGCAATTTAATCACAGTGTTTTTATTTTTCTCTTTCTCTCTTTCTATCTTTGTATGTCTGTCTGTCTGTCTGTTCGTCCGTTTGTCTGTTCGTGTATCTCTTTCTCTCTCTCTCTCTCTCTCTCTCTCTCTCTCTGTTTCTCTCCAAATATCGTATCTCTCGTTACTAATGAACTAATTAAGAAAACAAGATACCAAATCCACTTCTCGTTGCAGACGAAAATAATTTTTTTACATTGATAATAATTAACATCATTTTACTTTTATAATTATTTATTTTTTCTTTCTCTCTTTTTCTTATATTAAAAAATATTTAATATTATTTATATATTGTAACGAGAATGAGAACAACAAGAACGTGTTAAAATTACTAATAAAAATATTAAGTATTTTGATAAGAAAAAAAACAAACAAACAAAAAGAAAATTTGTCTATGAGAATATAAAATCAATTATGATTTTCAATGTTACATCTCATCAAATACGAACATCTCGCAATTATAATATAAGAGAATAAATATTATACAACAATCTTATATGAAACAACATCTAACTTCTAACGTTATTATCATTCTCTTACGAAAATCTAAGTAGAGATCATAAGTGTATGAGAAATTACGCAATCTTGTGAATTTACGAAACGTTCTTGGATACGTTTATTTATGGGAGTTCAAAGAGAGAGAAAAAGAGAAAAAGAGAAAGAAAGAGAGAGAGAGAGAGAAACGTGTATCCCCAGGCATAGCAAGAGAGACTCATTAGTTTTATCGTTCCCGATGCTCGTTCCTTCGTCCGGCCTCTGCCAGAGTTGCGAGTATTACATATCTCGCGTACTTACACACTTACATACATATGTATATACATATGTAACATAAAAATATATACATAGACATAATATAAGAGTAAGTATATGTATATATGTAACATAAAAATATATATAATACATACACATAATGTAAGTAAGTATATATGTGTGTGTGTTTGTGTGTGTGCGTGTGTGTGTATGTATATACGTAGGTCGTCGCTCTTCTAATTGCATGTACAACGGAGCTCGTTCAAATCGAGTTCCCGTCCTCCCGGGCTCTTTCTCCTTCGCAAACTTCTCTCCCGCGTAGTTTTGTGTGTAAGAGTGTACTATACTCGATAATCCCCAACATTCATCAAATTTAACCCCGTTACGTTAATACACATATTTTTCTGCTAAGATTTTCTATCACAATTACAAAATAATAATAATAGATTTCAATCTAAATATATATATATATATATATATATATATACATATTTCACACGCAATCCTTTTGTAATTGTGTTTTTAAATTTGTAATGATGGATTAATTACAAAAAAAGAATCTCATGAATTTTCTGTGAGAATTGTTTGATATGATTTAAAAATTATTTATATTGTTTAATAGAATTAAATTTATTTTTCTCGTTGGTCATTTAATAATCTATTATCTTTATTACTCTTACACAAATGTGATAGTATTGTAAATATATAGGGTCAATCATAATCTAATATTTTTGTGTTCATAGTATTAAATATCAACTCGTGCGTTTTGCCATTATTACAATTTTCCACAGATCAATACAAAAAATTGAAATATTTTGTATTCTTATAGAAATCTGAACAAAATCAAATGAAATCTTAAACAGCAAGCAAACGTGTTCATACATACACTCTCCCCTTAAATATCAATTATTATTATTATTATTATATCATCGTATATTATAAATGCACTCTTTCAAATTATCATATAATATATTTAATTATTCATTAGAAATAAAAAAGGATATTTCTTGGCAAACCTTCTCAAACTGTTCTCAAAGGCTAATCTTACATTGGTCATTCTTCATTGTCCGTCATTGATTATTTTCAAACACACACACATATACACATACACACAGAATAATTAATTCTTTTCTTTTTTTGTTTATCAAACAAGAGATTCTTTAGAACGAAGAGGAGGGGCTTTTGATCGAACGAATGAGCGGATAGATTTAACGTTTGTCGATGCATTATGAGTAGAAATAGGAGGTTGAGAGGAAAGGGTGGAAGATTACGGAGGAGAGAAGAGAAGAGAGGGGTAGTATATAAGAGAGGACAGTTTTACGAGCATAAAACATATGGAAGAAACGTCCCTGGTGCGTATCGAAAAGCCGTACCGAATTTTTTGCCTCCCGTTGATTATTCTCTGCTTGGAAACCTCCATCTCTTCGTCATCCCTAGTTCTATCTCTCTCTCTCTCTTTTTCTTTCTTTCTTTTTTTTTTCTCTCTCCGTCTCTTATTATCTTTTTCTTTCTTTTAATACGACCATGTCGTTAGAGTTCGAAACGTGCGACTCATTATCTTCAGAGGGCGTGTGTTACGTCGCTGATTTGAATTACGCTTCTTCTCTTCTCTTCGTAAGCGTCATTAGCAGAAAATATTCTTCTTTATGGTTTTTCTTGTTTTTTTTTCTTATTTTTTTTAAAAGAAATATAAAAAGAGAAAAGAAAGAGAAGGGAGTATATCAAATGCGAATGATTTGATTAGGGGTTGAGGGTTGGAGGTTTGTTAATGATTGATACGTATTTTTAAAAATATATATTGATCACGAATAATAATAATAATAGGAAGAAGAATAAGAAAGAGATTATGCATTGGATTTATGCATTATGATCATATTCAAAGCATCCTTACATCGTTTAGAATATAATCTTTCTTTCTCCCTTTATTTTTCTTGTATTATTTTTAAATATAAATCTAACTAAATGATGAAGGGGTTGGGGGGGGGGTTACCGATATTGCGTGCAGATCCAAAAATATCCAACTATATAATCATCCTCCTTCTGTTCTTCTTTCTCTTTAATGTTGACCGCAGCCGCGTGCACCGTTTCTCGCATAATGCGCGTCCGGCTGTTTCGAAGACTTAGGGTTGCACAAGCAACCAACCAACCAACCAACCAAGCTAGCAATTCTAGCAACAAGAAGAAGAAAAAGAAAAAGAAGAAGAAGAAGAAGATATGGAAAAATAAAGGATACAAAATGAAAGACAGAAATGAAGTAAAAAAGAAAAAGAAGACTAAAAAAAAATGAAATAAAATAAAATGAAATAAAATAAAAGAAAGGTAGGACAGCTTATCGGGAAATAATTAATATGCCATGGGCGCATAATGAACGACCGAAAGAAACAGTATGTTTGTTTTTGGATGGGCTTTCCTCGGGCTTGTGGACTTGTCGGCCGTATTTCTCTCTCTCTCTCTCTCTCTCTCTCTCTCTCTCTTTTGCTTCGTAGGCCTTCTCGACCTCCTGCTGCTAACCCTTTTTTTTCTTGTTTTATCCTTTTTATTTTAAATACGAGAGAGAGAGAGAAGGAAAGAGAATGAATGTGCTCCTGAGTGTGTTCTCCACGAGTTGCACACGGTTGTGCACACGCGTATAAAAATCTTTCAGGGTCCAGTAACATATACAAACAAACAAACATACACACACACCGCGTCCTCGTCCCGACCAACTGAAAAGCCTCTTTCTAAGAGAGAGAGAAAGAGAAAAAGAAAGAGAGAGAATACTCGTGAGAGAGTCTTTTGAGACCAAGGAGGAGAAGTATCCTCCCATCCTCTCGTGAAGAGAACACAAGTGAAAGAGTAAAGAGAAAGATAAAGATAAAATGTAACAACGACCGCCCAACCCCACTGCCCCCAACCCCCCCACACATGCCTTTCTCCTACATATATATATATATATACATATACATATATATATATAAAAAAAAAGAAACAGATCAAATAAATAGAGATGCAGTATTGAGAAAAAAAACTCTTCC